CGAAACTGTTGCTGATTTGTTGTTGTTTTGGAGGGGAAATGAAGCTAAAATCTTAATGCGAAGGACAAGATGAGGAGATAAGTCATACGAAGGCGGAAGATGCAAACACCGTTTTGGTTCAAACGTGACTTTTGAACCAAAGCTGGGCACCGAGTTCAGGTGGGCCTTTGGCACTCTGCCCGTACACTTTAGGGAGTCGGGGGTCGCTCAGCCCTGGGCAGAGGCACCCACGGATGAGCCCTGGGTGTCCCCACGCTAGACTCCTACCGCGTCTGACAGTTCTGGCGTCTGATGCGTCCTGCCACGGCCCTCGGACTCGGGGACACGCCGTGCAGCACTGCGTGACGGACAGGCGAGGGCCAGGGAGGCTCAGGGGTGACCGGACGTTTTGCTGAGGAGTCAAAAGCACTCCAGGACCCAACTGCTGCCCTGCTCACGGCCTCTCTCCACACACTTGAGCCGAGTCTCAGCCACACGTGAACCTATTCCTGGAACACAGCTGTGCGATGTTTCCGACCACACACCCTGCCCATACTCCAGGACGCCGCATTTGACCACAGGGTTCAAAGTAGGAGGCAACCAATCTTAGAGGGAAATATACATTTGTTTTACATATCTATCTATATAAAACACACAAGGCGCAACCTTTACCAACACGTCAGTGATCTCTTATAGAAGATCTCTTCATGGCCCCTAGGTGAAATACAACAATCCCCACACGTTTTCCTCTAAGGGGACACTTTTTTTCTAGCATCTCAGCAGATTTTCATAACAATACAAAACAAAATATATTATTTGGGTTCTGCTTTGGGGCAGGGATTGGGGTTCGGGATGGAAACATCCGAAATTTGGGGGTGGGAAGGGGTCATGGCGGTGGGATTGGTGTTTGAATATTAAATGGAATCAAATATTGTGAACTACTTTATAAAATAAAAAAATAATTTAAAAGGGGGGTGCCCTGAGGTGTCCCATGCGCCCACACCCAGGGGAAGAGAGGTCGCAGGGGTGGGAGGTGGTGGTTTCTCTGCTCCAGGCAGCTCTGCTGGGCCCCAACCTTCCTGGACTGGCATCCCCAAGAGCTACGCGAGGACATGGGGTCTCCAAGGGGTCAGAGCAAGGGGGACACCCCCACCAGAGTCACCTCATCGCGCCCTGCAGGACTGATGGAAATGCCTCATGCAGGTCCCTAAACAATCCCCCAAAGGCTCAACTCTGCCGGCATGGGCAGCGAGCCTGGGAGTGTCTGGAGCAGGTAGAGTGTAGCCACCCCGAAGGGCAGCCCAGGGTGTTGGAGGCGGCCACTGGCTCTCACCTGGGGACGCCAGTGCAGGAGCGTCATGGGAGATCTCAGTGGTCTGAACACAGACAGGAGGATCGGCGTCTAAACCTTCCCGACACAGAAGCCACTGGGGGGTGCTCTGGGGTCACACCTGGAGGCGCTCAGGGCGGACTCCTCACTCTGCACTCAGGGACGACACCTCCCAGTCTGGGGGAGGGGGCGGTAGAGGGCGCCAGGAATTGAACCCAGCTCAGCACAGGCAAAGCGGATGCTTTATTCGCTGTACTATCACTCTGAAAACCCTTCTCAAACCATCCCATTAACCCTGTAGTGGTTGCATATGATATTTTTTAGTTACAGGAATTGGTAAAGCACATAACGGAAGGGAGTTTATGAAGGCTCATGAATTAGTAATGGGACTGCATTTTTATTTTTATTTTCATTTATTTTTGGCTCTTTGGGTCACACCTGGCGATGCATAGGGGTTACTCCTGGCTCTGTACTCAGGAATTACTCCTGGCAGTAGCTCAGAGGACCATATGGGATGCTGGGAATTGAACCCGGGTCGGCCACGTGCAAGGCAAACGCCCGACCCGCTGTGCTATCGCTCCAGCCCCTGCATTTTTTATTTTTAAATAAACAAAAAGATCTTATATGGGGAGGGCTGTATTTTCAAGTGTCTGCAGAGATATACATGCAGCCCACATTACAAACCCATTCCTTGGAATCCCGAGAGTTCTGGGACCTCAGGATTTCAAAGAAGGGGGCTTGTGGCAGGCCCTAGGCCCACCGGCTGAGAAGTCATGGGGTGTCCGGTGAGGAGCAGGGGACGGAAAAGACGCCCACAGCAGGCAGGGCTCAGCACGAGTCACCCAGCTCTTCCCGCGAGAATCCCTCCTGGTGCCCGGGCAGGGGACACAGGCACGCTGGACAGGAGGGGACAGACAGGAGAGGGGCCGTCCAGAGACTGAGTCCATCCTCACCTCAACAGGGGGAAACCACGGGGAGGGGCGTGAGCTCACACCGCTCACACCCAGCGCCACAAGCCCGAGATTGATTGCTGGCACCCGAGGGCGTCACCCAGGGATCCCTGCACCAGACGCAGCCGTGGTGGTCCTTGGGCTCTGTGCCCAAGACCTGAGCACTGAATTGTGAATTGTCAGGCCTGTAATGCCAGGGGTAGACCCTATTTAAGATGGGGTGAGTGGGGGTAAGGAAGAGGGACAGAGAGACAGAGAGAGAGAGAGAGAGAGAGAGAGAGAAAGAGGGGGAGAGGGAGAGAGAGAGAGAGAGGAGAGAGAAAAATCATCTAGGAAAAGCACAGCACATCTTTCATTTAACAAAACTGCACAGGGACTGGAGCGATAGCACAGCAGGTAGGGCACTGGCTTGCAGGCGGCCAACTCTAGGTTTGATCCCCGGCACCCCAGATGGTCCCCTGAGCACTGCCGGGAGTTAATTCCTGGGTACAGAGCCAGGAGTAACCCCTGAGCATTGCCAGGTGGGTGACACACACGCGCACACATAAAAAATTTAATTAATAAAATAATAATAATAATAGGCTGTGTGGTCTTTGATTTGGAGCAAGCAAAGAGGCAGCGAGAAAGGGAGCAGAGCACCAGGCAGCATCCCAGCCCGACACACGGTTACAAACCCTGCCGGACGCTGTGCATGCGACTCCCAAATCATCACGCCCACCGAAACTCTAGTCGAAGCCCAGGCTAAGGCAGCACCTCGTAGACCCCAGCTACCGATGCCAGCTGTGCAGGCGGAACTCACGCGCGCGCACACACACACGCGCGCGCACACACACACACACACACACACACACACACACACACACACACACACGCCGGCAGAAGGGAGGAGGTTTCCCTGGGGGTCAGAGGGCCGGGGCTATTCCTGCAATCTGCAGCCGACAGGGGGCTCGGGGCCAGGGAGAGTTCGGAGTTACGGGAACCGGTAAAGCGCATAATGAAAGGGATTTCGTGAAGGCTCATGAATCAGCAGCAGGACTGCATTTTTACTCTCAAATAAACAAAACAGGAAGCCCGCCTTCCCCTCCGCCCCCTCCCCTGCCCCAGTGCGGGCGCACCTGCAGGAAACGCCTTCACACCTGCCTCCCACTCAGCGGACCCTTGCTGTGGGTCCTCTTCCCCACTCCCCTCTCTCTCCCCCAGAGACGGGGCCGCGCCCACCTGCTGCCCCTCAGCACCTTCTTCGATTCTCCACGTCCTTCAGCTTTTGCTATCACCGCTTTCATACTATCAACCGAAATTCTACTCATTCATCCGGAGTCAGTGCCGGGAGCCCCTTCCGGCCTGGCCGGCTGCAGGGTGAGGAGCCAGGGAAATGCACCACGACTCGCCCAGGGCTGCCGCACACCCCCAGTCAGCAGGAGGCAGAAGCTGCCGCACCCCAGGCCCTCCTCCCCGCTGCGGTGGTGGCTTCCCCGGGCCCAGAGAAACGCTCAGTTCCGCTGTGGAAGTGGAACTCTTTCCCTCAGGAGCCAGAAGCTGCCTGCCCATGGGGATGTCCCCCAGGACACGCCCCAGCGCGGCACACCTCTCACTCAAACCAAGCACAGCAGGACCCCCTGCCCAGGGGGCCTCACAAACGCAGGTCGCGGAAAACAAGAAAACAAGCCAGTGGGTAATAAGGGGAGATGCTCCTGGTGGGGTCTGCACGGGAAACACCCAGTCACACCTGAGCATGGCAGGGCTTGGTGAGACCCCGGAGGAGGGTGGGGCCGGTGGGGGGAACCTACTTCTCTAAGGAGGAGAACACCTGTCAGCCCCCTCCACGACACAGACAAAGCAACAAGAGAAAAAGATAAACAAAAGGTCTAGCTCTTCATCCAAGACGGAAGTAGGGAATCAGAAACACAGGTGCCAAACCAGTGGGGACCACAGCAGTGCTCAGAGCCACACCCCCATCACACACACACACGTGTACACACAACACACGCACACACGACACACGCACATACACGCACACACACGTGTACACACACACGCGTACACACAACACACGCACACACGATACACAACACATGCACATACATGCACACGCACGCACACACGTGTACACACAACACACGCACACACGACACACAACACATGCACATACATGCACACGCACACACATGCGCACACGTGTGCACACAAACATGCACACATGGACATACAAGCATGCATACACACCCACGTGCATGCACACACATGCACACATGTGCACACACGAATGCACACGCATGTGCACGCATGCACACACAAAGCATACACGTGCTCACATGCACACGCACACACATGCACACACGTGCACATTTACACGCATACATGCACACATGCACATAGAAGGACACACACAACTGCACACACGCACACACTCACACGTGCGCACACGCATGCACATGCACACACACGGGCACACATGTGAACACACACATACATGCGCACATGCACGCACACACAAGCAGGCACACACACAAATCCACACACACAAATGCACACATGCACACACACGCACACAAGCATACACGTGCTCGCATGCACACGCACACACGAGCACACATGTGAACGCACGCATGTACACTCATGCATACACGCCATGCATACGCATGCACACACACGCGCACACACACACACACAAATGCATACACACACACACGCGGGCTCCTCCCCCTGCCCGTTCCCCTGCCCCTGGGCCCAGCAACACTCACCGGGCTTGTTTCCTTCCCGCTCGTGGCCCAGCTGGCCCTTGGTGTTGAGGCCGCAGGTGTAGACGCCCCCGTCCTCCAGCAGGAACACGGAGTGGTTCCCCCCGCACGCCACCTCCTTCACGCTCCGGTCCGAGACGAAGCCGCACACCTGGGGCTCGGCCACGATGCCCTGCAGGTCGCTGCCGATCCCGGGCTGGCCCAGAGACCAGTATCCCCAACATAGCATTGTCCTCGGCTTCAGGGCGTCATGTAGCCTGGGGGAGATGCGGGGAGAACGGTCACCTCGGGTCACAGGAGCACACACCTCAGCCCGTGTCGGCCTCCGAGCGCCCGAGAAAGCTGATCCACAGCGCTGAGAGTGGCCAGGCAGCAGCAGACAGACCATGCGGAGTCTGGGGAAGTCCAGAAAGCACCTGCACGAGGCTTGGCCGTGTGAGTGCGTGCTGGCACGGGAGGCCGGTCGGGCAGTCCCCCGGCTGGGCCCCTGGGAAGCACACGTGCGACACCCAGCACCGAGCAAACGCCACTGCGGGTCGTGGCAACAGCGAGTTTGAAATGCAGAGACTCGCCCTGTCCGTTCTCTTCAAACCCGTCCTTTGGACTTTTCCGCTTCATTTTTCTAAGGTTTGGCGCCAGTTAAAACTATCCTATTCTTAGCCTGAATCGCAGTGATTTCTCACTTGAAACAAAAATAATAAACGGAAAACAAAAATATTCTCCTGGCTGCCCTCTTACATATCCTTCTGCTTTTTCTAAAACGCGGACTACGGGGTTCCAGCAGGATGGTGGCGGCACGGCGGCAGGGGCCAGGCGGTCAGAGGGACGAGAGTGAGGGGGGCTGCCCCTCGGCCACGGGCTCGGGGAGAGCCGTTGCACAGAACTGGCCGGTGGAGTGGGCTCAGGAAAACCTCCCTGAAGGCCCGCTGTCAGGGGATCCGGGATAGGCCCTACTGGCCTGGTGGCTGCAGCCCGCCCAGATGCCCAGGCTGAGAACAGCGGCAGCCCTGACCCCATCCCTGGTCCCTGCCGGCCACTGCTGCCCTCGACACTGGGCCCAGATGTGCTGCCAGCAGGTCAACCTGGACCCGCGGGTGTGCGCAGCAGCATCCTGATGGCACCCACAGGCTTCCTGATCCCCCAAATCACCGCTGTGCCTCTGGCCGAACCCCAACAACTCGGGAGCAAGATTCCTGAGAAATTAAACGGCCAGAAGTGAGGTATGGGGGAGCCACGCCCACAAACCACCTCCGGCTCAGCTATGCAAGCTCATTCATTGGACTTGCTCAGAGACCCATAAATAAATCTCAAAAGACATCAAAAGCCGCAGCTACTCTCGGACCTGTAAAAGGCTGAACAGACGAGGGTAGATGGGAGGGGGGCCGGTTGGTGTGTGCCCACCCAAACAGAGCCCCCGGCAGCCGCTTGCTCCCACAATCCGAAAGGGCCACCATGCCCCAGCTAGACTCCGCCGTCTCAGGACATACCTCGCCAAGATATAATCTGCTGAAAACTTGGGTGTGCGGGTTTTGTGACTGAAATCTCCAGGCTTTCTCAGGGTCGGGATGGGCTTCCTCCCCCACCTCCCTGTACTTCCAGAAACCCCGGCAGTCACATCCACACCCCAACGCTGCCACCCAGTTATAAAAAGCTTTGCCAACTCACCTTCCCAGTAAAAATACTGAACGTCCTGAACAAACACGATGACCTTTCAGTACCAGTATTGCAAACCGTAATGTACAAAAGGAGGAAGAGAAAGAAGAAGAAGAAAAAAAAATGCCTGCCATAGAGGTAGGTTGGGGCTGGGGGGGGGGGGGGGGGCGGGGTGTGCTCTGGTGAAGGGATGGGTGTTGGAACATTGTAGAACTGAGACCCAATCATGGATAGCTTTGCGATGGTCCATCTTGTGGTGATTCAATAAAAAATAAAATATAAATAAAAACCATTTTACTCTTGAGGCAACAGGTGCTGATTTTCATGCTTCAGGTATAGGTACATACACTGTTGTGTGTTCATCACATCTGCCACCAGAGTGCCAAATTTCCTCCCCCACTGTCCCTGGGTCCCTTCCCACCCTCTCCCCTCCCCCGACCCCCCGCTGCTTCTGTTGCCACCTGTGTTTCTCCTCCCCTCTGCTCCTGCTCCCATCGGATAGGGATGATGTCCGTCAACTGTCTCTCTCCTGCTGACCTACTATGCTTAACCACAGCCTCTAGGTCTAGTCGTGTTGCCGCTGAAGCTCTCCTCTTCCCCGAGAGCTGAATCATGCCCATCGTGTACATAGACCACAGTGTCTGTGTGTCCCCCCCCCTTCTTCCACTCCTTCCCTCTTTCCCCCTCTCTCCCTTTCCCCCTTCTCTCCCCTTTTTCTTTCACTTCTGGCACCATCTGGAGGTGGGGAGGGGGAGGGGGTTACTCACAGCGAGTCACAGCGAGCAGCACTGGGGAAGCGTCACCTTTCGGAGTTGCCTCCAGCCAGATAATCCCATTACCGGCCACCATCAGGTCAAACATCCCTCTCTCCCGAAAAGGAACATATGACGCCTGCCAAAGTCATGCCACTGGACCCCGCACCAGGCTGTTTCACGGGGGGTGCCCCAGAACGGGAAGAGGGGGGGCAGGTGAGAGCCCTCCCCGCCCCAAGGGACGCAGCCCTGGCAGCCGAAAACCTCCAGAACCGAACCGCCGCCACGCTCAAGGCCTCTCCCCACACGCTCTGAGTCACCTCCAGCAGGGACTAAACCACAATTTCTTTCTCCACACATCTGTTTTTGGACACGGGTTGTTTCCAGATCTAGAACAGAACTGAAATCCATGCAGGCACATTTAAGTGAGTGTGTGTGTGTGTGTGTGTGTGTGTGTGTGTGTGTGTGTGTGTGTTCCTGGGATAGACAGCAAGGGACAGAATTGCCGGATCACACGTCAGTCCTGCTTCCTGCGAGGTCTCCACTCTGGTTTCCGCAGAGGCCGTGCGTCCGCAATCCCTCAGCAGTGAAGGCAGGTCCTGGTACCGACCTCCTCTGCACCGGCTGCTCCGTCCTTTCAGACACAGCCCCGGGCTTCCAGGTCCTTCTAGAGCCAAGTCAAGACTCACTTCCTCCCAGCTGGGCGCCTGTGGGAGTCTCTCTGCCCACATCAGCCTGCAGTTCCCTGTCTCAGCCTCTGCCCTGACCAGGGGCTTCCAACCACTGAGCTCTCCAGCCCCACTGCACTGCCTGAGGTCAGAGCACAGCACATGCCAGAGTGAGTCTGCGGGCACCCCGTGACTTCTGATTGGGTGAGCACCCCAGGGTCTCACCCAAGCTTTCCTGTGCCTTCGGAATCGATCACTTCTCTTGCAGGTAACAAGTCCATCCCATTGGAGCTGGAGTGATAGCACAGCGGAGAGGGCGTTTGCCTTGCACGCGGCTGACCCAGGTTCGATTCCCAGCATCCCATATGGTCCCCTGAGCACCGCCAGGGGTAATTCCTGAGTGCAGAGCAAGGAGTGATCCCTGTGCATCACCGGGTGTGATGCAAAATAATAATAATAATAATAATAATAATAATAATAATAATAAGTCCATCCCAGCTCTCTTTCCCACACTCAGACCCACGAGCCTGGTTCTACTCAGCGAGGACGGTGTTGCTAAGGACGGGGAGAAGGGCAGCCCCCCCCCCCCGACATCGCCTGTGAGCACATGAGATGGCGCGTATATTTCAGAAAAGAGCCTGGAAATTCCTCAGCTGGCTAAACAGCCTCTGATTCTACTCGGCGCTGGATACGGCAGAGGATTGTACACGTGTCCACAGCCAGGCGTCGGCGGGGGGTCCAGGGGGACAGTGCCAGGGCTCCGAACACCTGCCCTGCTGCAGACGGACGGCCACGGGCTCAAATGTCTGGTGTGCCTCGCACGCTGAGCACGATCACTCCTGGCGACTCTGCTGTGTCTGGGGACCCTGGCGCCACAGGCCTGGGGGAGTCCCCCAGAAAGCAATGCCACCCCTGTGGGCCTCACAATGGAAACCAAGTGCAAACTCCAGTGCCAAGAAGCAAAAGCCCGACGGACAAGCTGTGAGCACTGTAGCCCCCGTGTGAGCACCAGGACCCGAGTGAGCCCCTGTAGAGCCCTGAAGCAAAACAGAAAACCGAGTCTTAATTCACCTCTTAGCCGTTATTTCTCTCCAAGAGTTCTGCTCCTTGCCTTGACTTGGGAACTACAAAAATCCACCTCACTTTAGATGTTTTATTTTTTTCTTTTGGGGCCACACCTGGCGATGCACAGAGCTTACTCCTGGCTCTGCACTCAGGAGTTACTCCTGGTGGTGTTCGGGGGATGATATGGGACGCTGGGAATCGAACCCGGATCAGTCATGTGCGAGGCAAATGCCCTCCCCGCCGTGCTATCGCTCCTGCCCCTTAAGCGTTATTTTTGAGTTCTCTGCACTGACGGGAAGGGGAGGGGTGTGGGGTGGAGGGACACGCTAACGGGCGGGTAAAATCACATCACCGCGTCATAATTTGATTTTTCCCATTCGCTCAGCGGCTGCAGCCACCGATTCCTTTCTTGCTTTTGAATGTTTCATGAGTTGGTCGTGTCTCTCCCGCGGGTGATGACGTGGGCGCCAGAGAGCAGCTATCCATCACAGTGCTCGCAGGCGCTGCGGACCATCGTCTCATTTCATTTTCACAACAACCCCGTGCTGGAAGCGCTATTTTTAGCTCCTTTCAACCAGAGCAAAGCTGGGAGAAAGGACGAAGCAAGACCAAGGTCACGGCGGTAACTGGGGCAGAATCGGGACGCGGATCTAGGCCGGAGGAGATGTCCAGTCTGGCCCACTGAGTGACGCCGCCGCCCGGACACCCGGGTCGCCGTGAACCCAAGGCCACACACACGCGGGCACGGCAACCAAACCACAAGTCACCCACGACAGAGGAAGTGCTGGAAACTTGAAAGCACAGCAGCCTCTCTGAAAACGAAACCGGACCGTGGGGAAGATATGGCGGCTGCGGCACCAACACTGCGGCCCAGCCAAGTGCAAATCCTGCGTCAGAAACAGGAACAGGGTGTTGGGAGGATCCTCCCAGGGTGGGAGAAGCATGCTGAAAGTAGACTATAGACCAAACATGATTGTCACCCATTGCCTCTTTTGCAAACCACAACACCCAATAAGAGAGATAGAACAAAAGGGAATGCCCTGCCACAGAGGCGGGGGGGGGGGGGGGGGGGGGGCGGAGGGATACTGGGATCCATGGTGGTGGGAAATGGGCACTGGT